GGCAACAAAGAGTGAGACTCCAATTAAAAAAAAACAACAACAAAACTTTCAAAGGTCATCATATTGTTCGCAAGGAGGGCAGACTTCTGGGAACAATTGTAGTTTTCTCACTGCACCAAAGCATAAGGAAATGTTGTGTGTCAGAGCTCTTCTCCTCAGACACACCCTGCCTGCGTGAGCTCTCCTAGCTCCTCTGGAATGCAAAGGGGCTTGATCTTGTTTGTTATTCATTGTTGTGTCTTCGCTGCCTGAAACAGTGCCTGGCACATTATAGGCATACAATAGTGTTGGAAGAATGAACTAATGAGTGGATACATTTTTCTTTTTGATACATTTTTCTGATTGTTTTAAATGCTCCATCGTTAGGGCTACTTGTAACTCAACTTGGCTGAGGCCTAGGCACATGAACAGAAGTCATAGGAGATAAGGCTGGAAACACTGGTTGGCTCTAGATGATCTAAAATGATCAAATATGAGCAAATATCATGAGATCAAGGGAGAAATGTGACAGATAGTGTGTGCTAAGTCCCCTATCTTTTATAATATAGTCTGTTATTAACATTGATAAATTAGACATAGAAATGTAGTTGTATTATGCAAAGCTATTGTATTAGCTTCTAAAAGTCTTAAGAACAGAAACTGTACACATTTGTTGCAATGAGGGAATGAGATTAGGAGAGAATTTACATTTTATTTTACGCACCATAGTGTCACTTGAAATAAAGCTAATGTGAATACATTACTTCTTTGATTCAATTTTAAAAGATCAGATGAGCCAGGTCATGCAGGGCCTTGAATGCCAAACAGAAGAGTGAAGACTGATCTTTAGATATGAAAGCCCACATTGCTTGAAGGGTCCTCATAGTGGACAACGAAAGACTCCAGGGTGAAGATTTCTTGCAGGAAGGGGAGGTGAGATAAGTGATTGAAGTCAGGGCAAAAAATGCTGAAGAACATCTCGTAAGATTTCTTGTTTCACACTCTCATTCGCCAGTACCCGCCTGTACAGGAAATCACAGGGCTGCCCAGCATCTTAATATAAGTCTTACTCTGTCACCAGGCATCTCCCCACCCAGAGGTTAGAATAGCATCCTCGGCTGTTTCCCAATCCCAGGAAAGTGCTTTCTTCTCAAATCACCACCTCCGGCAGGAAGAATGGTGCTAAGGTAAGTTTGCTCAAGGATCATCTTCTTTCAAAGGTAGTTTTGGTTTTTCTTTCTTAGTCTACAGCTTGGTGAGCTCATTTTGGGGTATACTCATCAGCAAAAGTCAGGAGGTAAGAAACTCCTTCCAGGCAGCTTTGGAGGCTGGTAGCATAGATAGTGGGAGATCCGAATAGGGTCAACCAGTTTCCTTCCACTTCTGTTCTATCTCCCTATAAGTTCACCTTTCTTTGACCATTCAAATCTGCAACTATGGAGATAAATATTTTACTAATTTTAATTTAAGAAGCAGGATATTGTGCAGGCATTACTTCCCAAAGCTAAACTGTTGTTAAAACCCTCAGGTTTCACAGATTTTCTTGCTATTTAGAAAGGGTTTTGTCTTTGTATCCCTTGTATCTGTTATTGTCCCAGCGGAAAATACAGATCACATACTCCCAAGTGGTAGTTGAGAAGATTGAGTGAAAACACTGTTTACAAAGGTGTGGATATGGCTAAGGGAAATCGCTAAAGAATGATGGAATCTTCAATAATAAGTAATAGTAAAGAGTTGTTACTATTGCTAGGCCTGAAGGGGTAAGGAGAAGAATGATGAAAATGTACTGTAGCTGTGACTATAGGAAAGGGTCACCAGACAGGGTCTATGTCCTTAGGTAGAGTTACACTGTCACTGCCAACTTACAGACTAACAGGAAGAGATCCAGGAAGTCAAAACTCCCTAAACTGCTTTCCATCTGCCCTCCAAACTTCCATCAGTGTACGTGTCCCTTTGGCTGAATGCTACCAGTAGCCAGAGTGAAAGGTAGCCTATTGATAAGGCACAGAGGTGCATCCCCCTAGGATGCAGAGGAGGGTAAAAAAGGGTGGACATGAGATCTTGATGGCAAATGGGGAGAATTCATTTCTTCCTCTTGCTTTTTCACAGCTTGTATTTCCTGGGACTCTTTCCATCTCAGCGTGATTGAGTTAATTTCTCTCTCTCTTCCCAGTTTAATTGTTTGAACACCCATTCTAGTGTCACTTTTTTGGACTAATCTCTCACTAGCATCATAAATGCCTGGGAAATAGAATATAATTGGAAAAAAAAAGATGGGAGTTAATAGTTGTTTATAAGTATTTAAGTTTATGATTTTGGCTGCTCTCAAGAGAAACCTGCTACAATAGGGACTTAAGAAAGCTTATTAGACATGGAATGATGACTCTAAGATGTCAAACAACAAAGCTACTTCCAATTTGTCATCCCCCATCCTGAAGGTACCCTCCTCCTTCTCATGGTTCTACAGGGCTCCCAAGCATCATAGTATTCTATCTTGGGGGAAGAGAAAGAAAGAACACAGGAAGAGTTGGTCACATCACTCCCTTTCGCCTCCTCTAGACCATCATGTAGTCACATGGTACCATCAACATCAAATGGGGTCAAGAGATAGGGTCTTTTCTCTGGTCAAAGACTCTCAGAATTCTTATGGGTAAGGAGAGAAGAAGGACTACTGGGGGCAACTAGCAGCCTCTATAACTGATGATTCTGCTTTAGAAAGTATGCTTACATAGAGATTTTTCTCGAGAGTGCATCACAAATAATGAATGATGAAGGCATGAAACAGAGGTAAACCTGGGACAGGCTCTGGGAGACCAGGGCTAGTATCAGGCCTGATTTTCACCATGTGATCTCAGGAAAATCTCTTGTACTTTTTTAACCTGAGTTTCTTTCTTTGTTAAATGAGTATAATAGCTGGTCTCCAAGAGGGATGTGTGCAGGAGGCTGGGATACAGTAGTGAGCAACTCCAACAAAAACCAGGTAGGTCTAGGCATTATAAAGCTTTGAGTTTAATGAGGAAGATAAAACAAAAAATAAACATATACTTAAAAATAAAACTGCAAACTATGTTCAGTGCCATGAATAAAAAGACCAAGCTGCCCTGAGGCAAAACAACAGAAGCTGTGGGTTTTCTCCATATTCTCATTAGGTCAACCAGGGCTGTAGAAATTAAGAGAGCATGTGATGGATGCATTCAGTCCCTATGCCAACTCTGCACCCTATGGGGGACACATCCTCTTCCCACTTGGAGGCCTCCTGCCTGTGTAAATCCTCTGCAATGTGGAATGATTGATAGCTGCCTTTCCTGAAGCAGGAAGGGGCTCATGTGTTCAGTTTCTTGTTCCAAGCTGGCGTTTACTCACATCTCCTCTTCTCCTTATTTGATTGCCTTCTAGGCTTAATCTAGGCTTAAACAAACCACACTTCTGATATTACACTTTGGATTTGACTTGAGCATTACTTGTTGGCTCCTTTCTCTGTGTGTAGTTGACACCAAACCCTAGCAAGGGGCCTGCAGGCCTGGTTAGGAACAAGAACTCTGACACAGACTTGTGAGTTCAAATGTAGGTTCTACCACTTGTTTGTAAGAGACCAGGAGCATATCACTCAGTCTATCTGTGCTTTAGTCACCTTATCTGTAAAATGGGAATGATAACTGCTCTGACCTCAATGGACTCTGAAGAGGGCTAGAAAAGGCCAACTTGAGGTGTTCCCAGCCACAGTTTTTTCTCCCCAATGTGAGTCAGTGCTCCTTCCCAAGTGGAATTTACATGAAAATCTACCTTTTCACCCAACACCTTGCACAATGTAGACATTTCTATTTCTCACCCCCTTCTTTAAACAGTCCTTTTCACAAATACTTTTATCAGCAAAGCAAACTCCACTCAAAATTACCTGGGGGAGACAAGGAATGGGTCCTGCTTACATATTTCCATACTTCAGTTCTCTCTCGTCAGCCCATTGTCTCTCTCCTTTTCCCAACTTGCCTCTTTTGCCTCCAAAATGCAAATAAGTTCTCATAAGTCTTGAATCCTCTCCCTAAATTGTAAGCTTAAACTCTTCTGGGTGTTCAGTAAAAGCCACATACTGGCCCTACCTGAGTTGGAGTCACAACAGTGTCCATAATTAGCTATCTGTCCAGAGAGAAGGAACCATTTCAAACATACCAGAGCTTTCCACAGAAGAAAACATAAGAAGTGAAATTTTCTTCATTTCTTTACATACGTGCTTTCTGATGACTAATTTCATTTTTATATGTTTGTGTTACATTTATCCCAGATTTTCAACTACTCTCTGGCTCCCCATTCATTCATTCATTTGTGGATTACAAAGTTCTTGACTGTCCACTGTGTCCTTCACATGGAGCTAGCTAGGCACTGAGGACACAGAAATGAACAATAGAAAAGTGCTTCCTGTTTTCATAAAGCTGACCCACTAAGTCATTTCTAGCTCAACAGGACTGGTCATCCTCACACCTGTCCTAGCAAGAAGTCACATTCCGTTTATGTTCTTAAATCATGATCTATCTTCATTCTATCTAGTGCATTGACCGCTTTCTGTCTCTAAGGGTGGCGATGGGTCTTGCCTGGGGCTTCTGACTTCCTTCCTTGAGAAGAAACCTCTATCCCAGAACAGAAGGAATGCTGGGTCCAGAGTCCTTTCTCTTGCTGTCCTACATAGCCTGCCCAGACTTTTCTCCTCCTAACTTCAGTGGACACGACATGGCCTAGAACAGTGAGTGGAGATGTTTGGACCTTAGAATATTCCCATGTCAGTAGAGAATCTGTGTTTAGTAGAGAGCCCAGGCTTTAGAGCTAGTGAGAACTGGGTCTGAATCCAGGTGCCAGGATTACCTGGCCTTCAAAAAATTACTTGATCTCTTCAAGCCCCTGTTTCCTTACCCTGTAACACAGGGACAGTAATTCCCCCATGGCAGGCTTGTCATGAGAATCAGCGATCAAGCAGCAGGCGCTCAAGTCTTGTTTGTGTTCCCAGGGGCACCAGCGAAGGATTTCTAAGCATGAATCCAACCATCCGAGCATGGGAGACTGAAATCTTCACAACGAACGGAAACAACCAGGATGGATATGACCAGGGCTTTATTTCATCTTGTCGCAAGGTGTCTCTGATCCTGGACGGGCTGATCCTCATCATTGCCCTGGTGGGGCTGGTGGGAAACATGGTCGTGCTCTGGCTCCTGGGATTCTGCATGCGCAGGAACGCCTTCTCGACCTACATCCTGAATCTGGCTGGGGCCGACTTTCTCTACCTCTGCTTCAACTGTATAGATTGCCTGCGGGGACTCATCACCTTCTTCCGTCCCAACTCCGTCTATATCCCCTCATTCACTACTCTGTTGATCTTTACCTACCTTGCAAGCCTGAGCATGCTGAGCGCCATCAGCACCGAGCGCTGCCTGTCCGTCCTGTGGCCCGTCTGGTACCGCTACCGCCGTCCAAGACACATGTCAGCGGCCGTGTGTGCCCTGCTCTGGGCACTGTCTCTGCTGCTGAGCATCCTGGAAGTAAACTATTGTGACTTTACATTTTGGTGGTGTCAGATACTTGATTTCCTCACTGGCTCCTGGCTGTTGTTTTTATTTGTGGTTCTCTCTGGGTCCAACCTGGCCCTGGTGTTCAGGATCCTCTGTAGTTCTCGGAGGATGCGGCTGACCAGACTGTATGTGACCGTCCTGCTCACGGTGCTGGTCTTTCTCCTCTGTGGCCTGCCCTTTGGCATCCACTGGTTCCTAGTATTCTGGTTCCAGAGTTATAGTGATTACTTACTTTGCTTTCTTACTTCAGTGTTAGTTTTCCTGTCCTCTGTGAACAGCTCTGTCAACCCCATCATTTACTTCTTCGTGGGCTCCTTCAGGCAGCGGCTGGGGTTACAACGGAGAACCCTCAAGCTGATTCTCCAGAAAGCTTTGGACAACACTCCTGAGATGGACGACGGTGAAGGAAGATTTCCTCAGGGAACCCTTGAGATGTCGGGCAGCAGTCTGGCGTAGCGATGGAGAGAGCCTCTAACAGATGTGGTTTTGAGAGCCAACTTTGCCCCTATCAGTCTAGGAGATTTTAACTTTCTTGGCCCCCTATCTTAAAACAGTTAAGATAATAATCCTCATGAAGATTAAGTTAAATGAACATAGTGTCTCTGGAACTGCCTCACTCAGGGGTTCAGCCCATCCTCATATGATCTTTGACAACTCTGGCGCTCAGGACTGTTCCCACTTTTGATGAGTGCTGCCTTTAGCGGAAGGCTAAAGCAGTGCAGCGAAGGTCTAAGTTTTCTTTGGTCACTGCACTGGATAGGAACTAAAAGAATGTTACGAGGGGATCCAAAACACTGATATTTATTTTATAAAAAATTATGTGGGGGGGCAGGGAGGAGAAGGGAGGTGGGATTAATGGTAGTTGATATCTGTCTGGGGATGGGGGGGCACACCTCATCAACAAGGGTACCTGCACAATGCATATTTGTATATCTAATCCTTAACTGTACCCCACACTTTAAAAATAAAAAATATGTTAAAAAATCGTGTATTTGTTCTTATACGTGTAAACTTCAGTCACCTTCAAAATGCTCTCCATTTGATGCGATACACCTATCGAGATGCTTTTTCCACTGCTCAATAATTTCAGTGCCTTTTGGTGCTTCTGCTGTTTTTTATTTCACCTCTTCCACATCAACAAAACGTTTCTCTTTGAGGACTTTTTTCACCTGGGTATACAAAAAAAAAGTCTCTTGGGGTAAGATTGGGTGAATAGGGAGAATGGGGCACAGGGGTCACACTGTTTTTGGTCAAAAACTGCTGAACATTCAGCATGGTGTGGGCAGGCGCACTCGTAAATCATCCAGCATGGAATGGGCAAACACACAGAAAGAATCTCCAAAAAAATTTCACTGAAGCTGAACACAGTTCCTCATAACAACTCTAGATGGTACACTGATGTTGATGGGTTCCTAGAACACTTACCTTGCAGAGGAAGCCTGTCCTATAAGAGGCCTACTCTCCAAAAAATAATTCTGGGTTTTTTTGGTCCCCACCCCGTATATTTGGAATAAATTTATTTTTCTCTTCCCTACACTTTCTGTCTCAATAAAATTAGAAGAATTAAATTTCAATCTAGCTTCAAAGGAGGAGTCTTTAATTTGGACAGGGCTTAAGACTATCTATCCCTAGCTTAATAAATGTTTCAGTAAATGACTTAATGAATGAGTAAACCGATACATTTTAAAGTCAAACCTGTGAAAAATCTCCATTTACCAGATTTGAGTCCCCATCTTTAAATTTACTGCTTTCACTATTTTTGACTTTTGCATGCATATGGATAAGTTTATAATCAGATAAATCAATGATCAATGTCAAAGCATATTTAAGGTTTTCGGTAGGCTGTCTTCCTGTGGTTTCCCTTCACATGCCCTCCATTAAAATCCCATGGACATGCCTTCCCACTCCTTGCCTCTTGCCTTTTCCCCGTTTTTCCCTCTCTGGGGCTCTCTAATCCTTTATGGTCATTTCCCAATGGGTCTTACTAGACTCTATGTTCTTGGAGGATGGGATCTATGTCAGATGTAACTTTTATTCCAAACAGCTTACAGAATTTATTTTGTTAATTGAATTACACATGTTTTAAAAGACACATGTTCCATAAAATAGAATGTTAATTTTGAATGCTGTATACTTCAGTAATTTTTACTATTTTTCTTTTTTTTTGAGTTGGAGTCTCACTCTGTCGCCCAGACTGGAGTGCAGTGGCTGCTCCCGGCCACCGCAGCCTTGACCTGCTGGGCTCCGGCGATCCTTCCGCCTCAGCCTTCCAAGTGGCTGGAACTACAGGCACGCGCTACCACGCCCGGCTAATTTTTTGATTTACTGTAGAGATGAGGTCTCACCAAGTTGCCCAGGTGGGTCTCTAGCCCGCGGGCTCAGGCAATTCACTGGCCTCAGCCTCCCAAGGCGTGAGATTACAGGCTGAGCCACCGAGCCCGGCTATTTTTTACTATTTTTAATTAAGAGAATGATCTGCACAGATCATAAATGCACAGTTCTGTTAGTTTTGTTGAATGAATACACCTACGTGACTTAAACTCCATTTAAGACAAAACACTTGTTTCATCTCTGAAAGTTACCTTGTGCCCCTCCCAATCATTCCTCCTGCCCCTAGAGGCAACCAGTGTTCCTATTTCTACCACCAAATATTAGCTTTGGTTGACCTTTGACTTTGTATTTTCAGAATCATACAATGTGTACTTTTTTGTTCCTAGTTCTTGCACTTATTATAATAGTTTGAGGAATTATATACATGTCATGCATTGCATATTTTAGTAGTTTGTTCCTTTTGAAAGCTGAGTACTATTTCATTGTATGGATATACCACAGTTTAAATATTTTCTTCTTTTAATTTTAAAGATGTGGGGTACAATTCAGGTTAGGTATACAAATGTTCATTATGCAGGTACCCTTGTTGATGAGGTGTGCCCCTCCCTCCCCTGACAGTTTCCCTCAACTGCCAATCCCATCCCCTCTCCCCTGGCAGTTTATCACTACTGCCAATCCCTTTCTCATTGTGTTATGATAATTGTTCAAGGTCCGCTTATGAGTGAGAACATTTGATACTGTGTTCTTCGTTTCTGTGATAGATCACTGAGTATGATAGACTCTAAATTCATTCAAGGTGCTGTGAAGTCCATATGTTTGTCCTTCTTTATGGCTGCATAATATTCCATTGTGTATATGTACCACATTTTAAAAAATCCAATCCAGCTTCGATAGGCAGCTTAGTTAGTTTCATGTTTTTGCTATTGTAAATAGAGCTGCAACAAACATGCATGTGCAGGCATGTTTTTTGTAGAATGATTTGAGTTCCTCCGGGTATATTCCCAATAGGGGGATTGCTGGGTCATATGGAAGGTCAATTTCTGTGTTCTTTCAGAAATCACCACACTGTCTTCCAAAGAGGTTGCACTAGTTTGCATTCCCACCAGCAGTGTAGAAGCATTCCCTTTTTCCCGTATCCTCACCAGCATCTGTTGCTTGTTTTATTAATGATGGCCATTCTTGCTGGGGTTAGGTGGTAACTCAGTGTGGTTTTGATTTGTGTTTCTCTGATGTAAATATTTTCATGTGACAGATATATATGTGTAATCTTCAATTTTTTTGGCTATTATGAATAAAACTGTTGTGCATGATCCTACTCAAGTTTTTTGGTTGATATGTATTTTCATTTCCCTTAGATAAACCACTTGGAATGGAATTGTTGGATGATAAGAAGATGCATGCTTACTTCTATAAGAAAATGCCAAACTATTTCCTAAAGTGGTTGTACCATGTCACATTCCCACCAGTAATGTATGAGAGCTACAGTTGCTGCAAATGCTCCCAGCAAATATGATATCGCCAGTCTTTTGAATTTTAGGCACTGTAATGGAGTGGCATCACATTGTGTTTTCATTTGCATTTTCATAATGAATTATTAAGTTGAGCATCTTTTATGTGCTTATTGGCTACTGATTTTTCACTGTGTTTAAGTTTCACCCATTTTTATTAAGTATTTCTTTTTCACTATTAATTTGTATGAGCTTTGTATATGATGAAGGATCCTTTGGAAGTTATGTGTATTATACTTATCCAATTGGTGGTTTGCCTAATTCCTTTCTTCTTGTTTGCTTTAACTGATAATTATACGTATTTATGGGGTACGTTGGGATGCTTTGATCAATGTATACATTGACATATCCACCACTTCACCCACGATTTTTTTTGTTGTGAGAATATTAAAAATCTATTCTTTTAGTAATTTTGAAATACACAATATATTATTATTAAATGTGATCACAATGCAGTGCAACAAATCACTAAAAATTATTTCTCTAGCTTAACAAACTTTATACTCTTTGATCAATACCTTTTCTTTAACCATCTCCCCCTCTCCTCTTAACTTTTTCATTACCAGTTTTCCACTTTCTGCTTCTATTATGTCAGCTTTTAAAAATTTCACATAAAAGCAAGATCAAACAGTATTTGGTTTTTGTGCCTGCCTTATTTCCCACAGCATAATGTCCTCCAAATTCATCTCTGTTGTTCAAATGGCAGAATTTCCATGTCTTTGGCCTATTGGTTGTTCAGAAGCCTGTTCTTTAATTTCTACATATTTATGAATTTTCCGAGATTATTTCTCCTAGAGATTTCTGATTTCATGCCATTATCACTGAAAAAGGTACTCAATATGATTTCAGTCTTTTTAAATGTGTTAAGATTTTCTTTGTAGCTTAACATATGATCTATCATGGAGAATGTTCCATGTGTACTTGAGAAGAATGTGTATTCTGTTGTTGTTGGGTGGGTGGAACATCCTGTAATTGACTGTTAGGTCCACTTGGTCTGAAACATAGTTCAAGTCCCCTATTTCCTTAATGATTTTCTGTCTGTCTGATCTGTCCAATTTTAATAGTCAGGTATCGAAGTTTCCCATTATTATTGTGTTACAGTCTATCTCTCCCTTCAGATAGCTTATGCAACAGAATCCACATTCTTCTCAAGTACACATGGAACATTCTCCATGATCGCTTATAAGTTTTGGTGAACTGATGTTGGGTGCATATGTATCTACAACTGGTATATCCTCTTGGTGAATTGACCTCTTTATAATTATCTTTTTTGTCTTTTTATTGTTTTTCACTTAAAGTGTATTCTGTCTGATATGGTATAGCTATTCTTGCTCTCTTTTGGTTTCTGTTTTCATAGAATATTTTTTCCATCCCTCACTTTCAGTCTATGTGCGTCCTTATATGTGAAGTGAGTCTTTTGTAGGTAGCATATAATTCAGTCTTTTAAAAAAAAACTATTGAACCACTCAAAGCCTTTTGATTGAATAATTTAATGCGTTTATATTCAAAGTGATTATCGATAGGTAAGGACTTACTGCTTCCATTTTGTTAATTGTTTTCAAGTTCACTTATAGATCCTTTGTTTCCCTTTTCCTTGTGTTCCTTTGTGACCTGATA